TAATATTTTAATAATATTTGTTAATATTTATTTTAATAATATTTAATAATAATTTAATAATATTTGTTACTTTTTTTGTTAATAACTTTTTAACGAATAACGAGCGACGGCTAAAATCTCTTGATAGTCACTCAGGGTCATGACCTTGACAACATATATGAAGGTCAAGGTCATTGGGGCTGGGTCCGTTGTTATCAATATTTACCTAAAAAAAGTTATAGTACCATGTTAAATATGTTATGTGTTTAATGTGTTAAAATATGTTATAGTTAAATGTGTTATGCATTTTATTATAGTGTTAATTATTATTTATTGTACGTGTGTTTAATGTGTTATGTATGTTATTCCAGTGTTAATTATTATTTAATGTGTGTGTTTAATGTGTTTTATATAAATAAATGTGTTCAAATGTGTTTAAATGTGGTTAAATGTGTTAAAATTAAATTATTTTATTATAATGTTATACAAGGTAATTCAGAATAATCCCGGTGTTTCTGTAAAGACGTATTCTTGACTCAATTCTAAGACGATTTTTCCTTTACAAAAATTTTGTCCGAAGCTTAGTTTTCAAATTATAACGAGAAATTAGCGAATTACGGGCCGCGTACGAATGGTAGACAGGGGCGGCGCAACTTATTGTCCGCCGGCAGGCGGTACGCGGGACCGTCGCGACGATCAGCTGACTACACGCGCGCATAAACATGCGTTTACATTCTCTCTTTCTCTCTCTCTCTCTCTCTCTCTCTCTCACACACACACACACACACACACACACACACCAAAAACGCACGCGCGCACACACACACACACACACNCAAAAACGCATGCGCACGCACACACATAACGCACGCACGCACGCACACACATAACGCACGCACGCACACACGCACAATTTTATATATATATATATAAACATATATATATATGTATATATACATATGTGTTTGTTTATGTATTATGTATATATTGTTGCAATATAATTGCAATATAATTTTTTTATGTAATAGTATATTATATCGAAATCTAAAAAACCTAAACAAATAATTAATCTTTATATAAATAATCTCATTACAAATTATGCATATATATATATATATACACACATACATATACATATACAGGGTCTCAAAACCCATGGATTTCCTTTTAAGTGTGGATTCTTTAAAGTACTTTAAAGAATCCGCTTAAAAGGAAATCCATGGAGTTTGGGACACCCTGTATATAGCCTAAATTATAATTTAAAATGTACTTTAATTGATGGATTTGATTCTTCGTCTCTAGAGACATCTTTATCAATATTTGTTTTTTGAGAAGTTTCCGACACATAACTTGAAGATTCATTCGTATTTATTATTTCATCAATGACAAAATAAGTGTCATTCTGTGCGTGAGATGTGTCAAGTAAATTTCCTGTTATTGTATTATGCATAAAAAATAAAAATTGTTATATGTATAAAAGTCTAAAGACTTGTAAAAACTATCTATATAATTTTATATTAATAAATAAATAAAATAATCTTATTATGAATTATAATTTTAATTTATTAACTTCAAGTAACGAATTTGATCCTTTTATTGATATAATTTTGATATTGTTTAATTCTTGAGAAGCCTCAGAACTTGAAAGTTCAATTACATCTGTAATTTCTTCAACATGAATGTCATTCTGTACATCACGAGGTGTGTCAAGTAAATTTTCCATTGTGATATCAATATTCTAAAAACATAACAAATAAAAATTAATAAGCACAAATAAGAAAACAATAAGAAATCAAAAATTAATAATGAATAATTATTTATTAAAAATTAGCACTTTGGAAAGATTTGTCAGATATACATACTTCAATTTGTGATTTCGTTGTAGATTGCTTTTTTTTACATATCTTCCAAAATTCAAACAATTTTGTATATTCATTTCTTCCTTGCAATTTATCAACATTACTATTTTCTTCAAATTTGTTAATGATATCTTTATCCAAATTTTCTCTCATAAAATCTAAGATAATTCTAGATTTATCTTTCTGAATATCTTCAAATGACTCCTTTGTACTTTGACTTTGATTTTGTACAACTTTATTATAATCAACAGCATCTGCATTGAGCGGGTATAATCCACAAATCCGAAATCCATTTCGTAAACATTTAGATATATCGGTACTATCTATAGCTTCTTTTATTAATGAATCGAAATCTTTTTTTCTCAAAGTTTCTTGATTTTCTATGCGATATTTATTAACGATATTTTTTCAAGCCATTTTTACCGGTCTAAATACTGATACGTCCATCGGCTGAAGAATGTGTGTTGAATTAGAATAGAGAGGAATTATTTCTATTTTATGTGCGCTACAAAAGCCACTTAAGTGTTTTGTCATATGTGACGAATGTCCATCCAAGTAAAGTATCACTGGAAGACTTTTGTTTTGAATAAACCATGGGTAGAAGATATTAGCAATATATTCATAAAAATTGGATGCAATCATCCATCCATTGTCTGATCTGCCACAACTCCAACCATGTGGTAACTTTGATGCTATGTACGCTGGAATTCGTTTATATGAAAACAATATTAAAGGTTGAGCTAACACACCAGCTGCATTACCCGTTAAAAGGACTGTAATGCTTTCTTTATCATTATTTCCAACTATTTTATATACATTTTTTTGCCCTTTTTCTGCTAGCACAGATGATTCCTTAGGATTGAGTAAAAACGCTGCTTCGCCGCAGTTGAAAATTCTTTCCGGTTCAATATGTAACAATTCTTTAGAATTTAAATAAGTAATTATTTCATTGAACCAACCCCTCAAAGCACTTTCGGTAACTTCTGCTCGACGGAATGTCAAATTTTCAGTCATCCTTTCTGCAAGTTTTTGATGTCTTTGTAGAAAACCTCGATACTAATTACGTCTAGAACGATCATTAACAAATATATTTTTTCTGCCCAGAGATTCAATAAGCATTTGTACACTGTCCAACAGTTGATTCTTAGTAACTGGGAAGACTTTACGACTTAAATAAAAAACCCAATCTACTAATGTTTTTTCCTCTTCGTTCGAAAGAACTGTTAATGGCCCAGGCTTTTGTCTGCATAGAATTTTTTCTTTTTTGCGTCTAAAGTTGAACGAGGAATATTAAATTTCTTGCCAGCAGCATTTACACTCATTCCTGAATTTATTGCAAACAATGCTTCTTTTATGTCATTTTTATTGTATAAACATCTTTTTTTGCAGTTTTTTTATTTATCTTTGCTTTTGTTAATTATATTAGTTCTCTAAAACAAAAGTCATAAATAAACTTATGTATAATATAATCATATATGTTAAAAGTAATTAAATAATACATTGGATATTATTCTAATACATAGGATATTATTAAAAAATTTACTTGGCATATTCGTATTTCATTTTATTTTATTATTTTATTTGCATTAACCTCAATAGATACGCCAAGAAATTTTTTAGAATATCTAACATATTAAATATCTAATGTATTCTAATATCTAGAATTAGAATCAGTTACAATAATAGTACCTTTTAGTATTTAATAAATGATTCCCAACGAGATAAACGCATAAAAACACAATTATTAGCTACACAGCTGTCACTGCAGCTACAACACTCAGCAACACTTATTGAGGTTATATTATTATTCTTCCAAACTGCCAATATTATATTCACTCTGTGATTGATGACCACAATACTGTTGACACTAATAGAAAAAATACAAAAAAGTGAATATATTATAACTGATATTAATGAATATATTATATAAATTAATATTTTAATCAATATTTCATTTTTTTGCTTTTATTTAAACATTATTTTATCAAAAAATGTATTTTCATGAAACTTATCTGACCAAATTTATTTACAATCGCTTATCTTTGTAACTACTTATTATCCATTTCACTAATAAAAATGGACCTAACTTAGCAGAAAAATGAGTTTCTCGAACTTTAAGTTTTATTTTTAATTAAAGGATTAGTTTTCATTTTGAATAAACTATTGCAATAATAATTAGATATGTTAAAAATTTTATTAAAAATTAATAAAATAGTTTAACATATAGTTTTTACATCTCAAAAAGTTTTACATCGTCAAAAAGTTTAATTTTAATTGACAGTAATGTAGAGCTGTCAGTAATATGGTCTTTCACCCTATCAAGAAACAAATCCTGATGATATACCTGCACCGTCTAGAGTTACAGTCATTTCGAAGATATAATTACATTATTATACAAAGAAATAAGATTTAAATTGTAGAAATACATTTATAGAGAAAAAATTACAAATATTTTATGTTTATCGAATGTGTGTGTGTGTGTGTGTGTGTATGTGTGTGTGTGTGTGTGTGTGTGTGTGTGTGTGTGTGTGTGTGTGTGTGT